TATATATATATATATATATATATATATATATATATATATTGGAACCGTACTCATCTTTGACGTGGTCTGTCAGCACTTAGGTGAACTGATGACACACATTATTTTATCAGATGGATAAAATTATTAAGATGGGACAGGGAATCTGTTTCAGGGGCAAGGATCGTATTGGTTGCATGCACTTGTTATGCATTAAAAAGGAACACCTCTTTAAAGAAGAACAACAAGAAAAATATTTATTACTATTACATAGACTGATTATCTTTGGGTGATCACCGCTAAATATTCTGATTACCTTTAATTTTTGCTTGTACCCTTGTGATCGCATGTTTCCTGTTTTGACATTACAAGACAGTGGGCCAAATCAAACCTCTCTCTCTCTCTCTCTCTCTCTCTCTCTCTCTCTCTCTATATATATATATATATATATATATATATATATATATATATATATGTGTGTGTGTGTGTGTGTGGGTTCCTCGCAAACTCAGCACGACCGCACACTCAATCATCGCGGATTTTTTATAAACGACAATAACTTTATTTGATATGTTGCAAAGATTTATTTGCCAAAATTGCAGCCTTCTAGGATAATAATTTTCTGTTTTACAAGCAATAGATTTTGAATGGTTAAAAGGCGATTTTAGACATACTTAATTTCGTTTTACTCATAATGAGTTAATTTACCTCGCAAAACACACCAAAATACATTAATTCTGAAAGAAAATATTTCAAAGAATCGATTGGTGGCGTTTTCAATTGTACATTTTTATTCTCTACTAGTCAAAATGACGGTTTTTAGAAAAGTCATTTTTTATAAAAAAAATTCAGGTTGTTCATATTTTTAAAATTATCAAATAACAATATAAGTACTTGTTTTTAGATATACTTTCATAATATTAAACAGTTTGGGGGGGGAATTATACCTAAAACCATTTTTCGTTGATTTTATTGGGTGCACACGGTTGTAGAGATGCCTATTTTATTTTACTCATTTCATAACTCATTTCTTTCGCTAAAATCATGAAAAACTACATATTTCTGAATAGAAATTGAATGAGAAATCAGAGAGAGAGAGAGAGAGAGAGAGAGAGACAGAGAGAGACATCCTCTCCGTATACATAGTAGTTAAGGGTGAATTGTTTACGAGATTATGATATTTAACACTAAAATAAACCTTTTGTATTGTTGTTAAGAGTGCTATGTCTAATATATTGCCACATTTGTTAGATATGTTTATTCTGTAGTTAGTGTCAAGTGTCTTTCTTGAAACATTTCTATCATTAATAATCGTTTTCTGATTATTTTAAATATCTGATAATATTTACAGTATACGTAGGAGTAATAATACATGGAGATATAAACTCTATTTCAATATAACCTAGTTTATTTGCAATGTCTTTAGAGTTACAATAGACACTTCACCATGGCACTCAAACAATGTTTTCCCTATTACTGGTAATTAAAAAGTATTACAAGGTCTTCATGAGTATTCATTTTAAGCTTATGAGTGTACATTGTATATTAATCATGAAAAGCATATTTGAATCATTTTCTTGAGCAATACTTCTCTTCCATAATTTTTTAAATATTTTGTGCGACTGGGAATATTGATTTTTATATCGTTCTAGCCTGTACAATAAACAACGAACCGAAAGCTTATGTGCGTTAAAACTTAATAAATATGCAAGAAAATGTTATCATCGACTTAAACCTTCAACAACAATATTCATAGAACAAATGAGTATCATTAAGAGATTAACCTTTCGGCGGATCGTAATATGCAGTAATAGTGGTTATGCAACTTTTTTCTCGCCGATGAGTGCCAGATAGGTTGAAGGGAGTTCTTTGAGTTAATACACGAATCGCCGATGTTTCTACGTATTAATGACAAGAAAGAAACCAAACATAAAACAGTTTTGGTTAGATGGCATGTTCATTTTTTTCCCGAAGAGAAGAGAGACATGATGTATAGGCAAGATATAAGACGTTATTTACAAGCTTTCAAATACTCCACAGTAGGTTGGGCATGTTTTCAGGATGAACTTTCATTATTATGCATACAATTTATGTAAGACTGTGTATTTTAAAATCACTGTTGATCAATTGTTCAGATTTAAATATCAGAGGGAAGAGGTTCAAAGTATGTCAAAGAGGAGAACCACACGTGTAGGTTAATTTTTAACGTATTTTCAGAGAAATGTGTTGAGACGAAAAGAAGTACATATTATGGGGAAAATGCACGCTGTAGTTATTATTGTCTAATTTTCGAACTCTAAAAAGTTCCCATTGATCCACTTCCAACATCAGCAGTTGTTAGACATTTCTGAATTCGGAATCACATAGTCGCCGTACCTTAACCTTTTATACTCTTATTCGCCTAGGAGAACAAAGAGTATATTTCAGAGACGGCACTCAAAGTTAAAAGGAAAAGCCTTATTTGCCCAACTTCCGGTGCCACCACACTGTTCTGTATAATGTATGATGTAACTCGAGGAAGTCGAATCCGTAAAGGACTTGGGCGTCATTATCTTCAATAAATTGAAGTTCTCGAATCATGTGGACAAGATGAAATCCAAAACATACAAGACGCTGGGATTTATACTCAGATTTGGAAGGGAATTTAACAATGTCTATACGTTAATATACCTATATTTTACTTTGTTCCGTCCAGTAATGGAATATTGCTCAACAATCTGGTCACCATACACCGACATTCGTGTGGATCGAATCGAAAATATTCAAAAGAACTTCTGTAAATACGTCAAATACTATATGGGCATCAGAGGTCATGACATCAGCACCGATGAAGTCTAAGATCAATTTGAAATACACTCACTTTCCAAGCGGTGACAAATTGCAGATATTATATATTTTTAAGATCATTAATTGCGAAATTGAATACCAAGAAATAGAACAATTTGAATTTATCTATTCAAAACCTGGCTTGAGATCGTATAGTTTACTGAATTCAATTAAGACTACTAAACATTATGTATATTATGGTCCTAAAATAGAATAGCGAACCTAGTAAATGAATATTGTTCCAGCATAAACTTCTTTGGGGATCCACATCATCATTCTCGATACAGATAAAGAAAATTATACACAACAGATAATGTGTTATGTTTAAAATATTTATTACAAAGATTGTAAACACAACTATATGATGTGATACTTACGGTTTATAATCTCCATTTAATTTAATTAATTTAATTATATGCATCGATTAGTTGTATTTAGAAATTGTTATAGTGTATTGGATGTGATTGTGCAGTGTGGTATATAAATTGTTACCTATATGTACAAAGCCGATTGGCGTGAATAAGTAAATAAATAATAATAATAATTACTATTGGGTAAACGGAGAGCCAATAACGAAGAAGTAACCGGTAAAGTTGAAAGAAACCAGCAACGCGGGAACTTTAAAATTTCACTCCCATACTTTCCACGCCTTAATTTTTAAAAAATTCACAATAATAACTATAAGGATTTTATGGAAGAAAAGTCAAATTAGGGTAATAAAATCTAGTATTTATTGAGCATATTATTTGTATACATTTTTTTAATTTCATTAGTAATAACAATTTTATATTACAGAAAGTAATAATCAGTACACCTGCACAATTGCAACTTTAGTATTTGCTTGTAGATGTGCCAAATTAATGTAAATACTACGGAATACTACATTATTACAAGCATTATGAATGAACAATATAAACATAATTGAAAAGAAACAAATGAAAATACTACCACCGCACATTTGCCCAGGTAAAACAAATAGTTGTGATACATGGGGTGCAAGTGCCATTTTGTTTTGCGCATAGGAAAGGTAGCGCCACTAGGCCAATAAGTCAGATGCCCCATTTCTACATGCAAAATAAAATCACTTTCACCCTGCTTTTTTAAGTGGTATTACTGCCTTTTATTTTATTTTAGTCCAAGAACACGAATTACTTAATTATGTACTGTTACATTAAGATCAATAGTATCTGATTAGGTCACATGAATGTATTTTGTTTTCCTTGTTGCTTTCAAACTTATCAGAACATTTGAGCATTGTGCCGCTTTTAGCAGTAATGCAAAAAATTAAGCTTTCAGCATGCTCTGCATGCCTTGAAAGAACCACTTTTACTAGTTGCAACCTAAAATGTTTTTCGTCAGCCAATAAATATTTTATATATAGTAAATATATTATATAATAATAATATATTATATATAAATTGAATCAAGGTTGTGTTTGTTATGAGAAACAATTATTGTCAGAACAGTATAGCAATGCATAAACAACTTGTATCAATACTAATAATAAAAATAAATACTAATAAGAAAGAAAAAATACAGAAAAGATAAGCACTAAAGAAATTCTAAAATTGCATGAAAATAGCCTCTGAAACATAAACCCAAAACCTTTATATTCATAATATTAAAATAAAGTGTCTTAACATAGCAAGAGGCATTCCAAAATTGAGAAAATGATCAGGCTTTACAGAAATAATTTTATCATTAAATTTAATTTAATTAGAACTTTCCAAATCAGATGTGTAATGGATATGTATTCAATGACAGAATACACACTGATTTTAAAACTCTCTTTGTTCATACCTTTACAAACTGTCAGCGCAAAAGAGATATGTACAAAAACTTTGTGCAAAATGAAGCAAGTCATTTACTACCAATAATAATCATTCTTTAAAATTATCTCTCTGAGTTCTGACTCCTTAAAGATAACATTAATTTAAAGTCACTTAGGGTCAAACTCGTAGGGTCTAATATGCGTGCTTCAGAAGCCATCTCTGGAAGAGGATCTGAAAAGCAAAAAAATGCAGTTAAGAAAGATACTATGACCTCAAATGAATGTTCTGAAAACAAATCTGTAACAAAAAGAAATGGGTTTCTTTTATTTCACCATCTAGTTACGAAAATAGAAAGCACAGAAATATTTTGCTCTTACAACACACGGACAAGGATCTGTAATCACCAAAAAAATGAGTTTTTTATTTACTATAATTTACCCTCAATTGGCACTAATAACTGTATATTGAAAGGAACATACCATAAGAAACATCCATAAAAAGTTGAGGTGACACCTCACATGGGTGAAAAATATCTGAAAATGGAGACAAACTTGAAATCTATCACATCTTCAATAAATGCAACAAAGTAATAATTGAGATTCTGAAATATTATAGCAAATATTTACCTTTCACAAGGCTAGCATAAGCATTTACTGCACTTGCTGTAGCAGCATGTTCAACAGCACTAGTCTATATTAATGAACAACAAATTATTACCAATACATTATGCTTTTAATAGCATGCTCCCTTTACATTTACCTGCTCTCCATTTTACAAACATACAAGAGACTTACCATTTCAGTTTGAAAAGCTGCCTGTGTACAAGGATCTGAAAATTAAAAATTGTTGGTAACATAGACTCCCATCAAACTATATATTCTACTAAAACTATAAAAACATATTATGTTAAAACTCTCTATTCTACTAATATTCTTTTAAAAAAGTCTTACCAATTACACCCATTGCTATAGTGGGTTTCACCTCAGTTTGTTCAAACAATGGATTTGCAAATGAACATGAACATTAAAAAAATTCCACAATTTGCCATTGAATTATTTCAATTCACTTTCAAGGAAAAAACTTACCGTGAATATTGGCAGAAAATGTACCAGGCACACTTGCTGTAGTGAACCATTCACTGGCATTAGTTTCTGTAAACACAAAAGAATCATCACCCTAGACTTTTAGTGGCATTATTCTATATACATTTTACAATGACGTAGAAGATCTTTACCATCTACAGTGTAGCCTGGATTTAGAGCAAACTACATGAATAAAAACGAAAGATAAAATAAATGTAACTCACTTTTTCACGTTTCTTGGGAACCCAAATAAAACTGTTTTAATAGCTAATTTCGCTTTCGCATTTTTACAGTTAGGAACCCAACATCTCGAAGCCATAATGCACGCTTCAGACTTCAAACAGCAGAAAATCACTTCAATTCTCTAATTCACTGACTGCGATATGGCGTTGACGGCCCTACGAACAGCACTGTGTGAATATACAACAGGTCGATGAGGAAGGAATCCAACGATAACCAATAAAAATCAAGTAACGTTTAAAGTGAATTAAAATAGCTATTTATAATACAAGTGGTAAAAGTGACATTTTATTTTGAGAGTTGAAAAATTTCCGACGCGCAATCCTAGGAGCAAAATAAAATCATTTTTACCACGTGTGCCATACACTATTTTTTAGACAACCATATTGACTTTCATTTGATTTTAATTCAAGTATGAAAATCACTTAAAGATACATTAATCTCAGTAGAAGCTGATAGGTCCAGAATATAGTATTTTGTTTCGTTTGTTGCATTCACAGATTTATCTGAACACTTGGTCATAGTATCATTTTTAGTACTAGTGCTAAAAGTTGAGTTTTCCGCACGCTATGCACGCAATTAAATAACCGCATTTGCTAGTGGCCGTCTAAAAAATACTTAGTTCAAGAATGTAGGTTGAGAATATATGCGTTTTGAGTGAATTAAACGTCTTTGGAAAAGGTTTCTCTCTTCTCCAACGACAGAAGCAGATTGTAATTGCGCATGCGAATCTAATTGAAAAGGTGGTGCAGAGCCGCCGAGAGGCTTTCGAGGTCCCCTTGGAGACGAAGAGTCGGGTTGGGGCCCCAAAAAGGTTGCAACCAGCGCGCCTTCTTGTAAATTGATGAGGTGTACGGTCAGCAAGTTCCACGGAGCCAGCTGATTTACATGTCCACACGGCGCGCGCGCGGCGCCCCTTCTTCCAACCTGTCACTTTTCATTTCCCGGATTTGTGAACAGATGGAGATCAAATGAGGAAAGCGTCACGGCTGTTCTCCTTTCTCTAATCTCCTTCCTATCTGTTTGCCACGATCTAAATCCATTGCCAAACGCACAAATGACTATCATGGGCCGCGGTTCTCTTTTTGAAGGACACAGAGCTCTTGTTGTTTCTTCTCAGCTTCCGTACGTGCCAAGAAATTTAACCTCTGACGGAACACTGTGTAAGCTTCTGGTTTATACGGGCATTGAAATCACTGAACGATGTTAATATTATCCGACAAGTAAGCCTTGACGCACGCACTGCTTAAGAAGCTAACCAGTTTTCTCGCAAAAGAGTACAATAAGAAGGCTACTGTTTAAGTGATACGGTTCACAATTTTAGTCAGGAAATATACATCCGTTAGAAGTTTACATGATCCATCCTTGAAACATCGGATTCAGTGTTACGTTAATGACGCATATGTTGTTTGTGGATTTTAATAAACGAGAAAAGAATTGCATTGTTCTGAAATCAATAATTATTAATCATTTAAATCAGAGGAACAGTAAATTTTGCCTGGTTCAATGGTATGCAAGTGGTACATTCTAAGATGGGATACAATAAAATTGAAATGTACAGTGATCGTGAAAAGTTAATGAAAAATAAGATCTTTATTTTTAATTTATATTTATATAATTTATATTTACACATTATCATGAAACAATACGTTAATTTATTATACTCTGTTGAATAAAACTCATGCATCAATATTCAACATAAATGAGTTTATTGTTGGAAATTACGAAAGAAGAGATTCATTTTTTTTCTGGTATTTGTCCCTCTCTTTACTACTGTATTTTTTGACGGGAAGGAAAGACCTTTCAGTGAGAATAGCAGGAGAATAGCAGCGCGTTCCAAGTGCAAGCGCGGAGAAGTGCTATTCGTTTCTCTACGTTCTGATTTTGTCTAGACATTGTCGGGTATCATATTTCGGATTCGCTCAAACATCGCTAAGAACTGGCTCTTAGTGACTGTTTGGGCGGCAGCTGCTTTCCTGAATGGCTAAGTCGGAAACGCCTCGCTCTCAACCTCGAGAAATGCGTCGCCGTCAACTTCACTCGTAAGAGGGCTAACCCCAATGAAACGGTGAGCTTGGCTGGCACGCATCTACCTTGGGGGAGCGAAGCGAGATATTTGGGCGTGCTACTTCACAGCGGCCTTCGCTGGCATGCGCACGCTCGGTATCTCGCTGCCAAAATTAAAACACGCACCCTCCTTTTGAAACCTCTTCTCCGTTTGCCCGATTTAGCAATTCCTCTAAAGCGCCACTTATTCACAGCTTGCGTGCGTCCCTTGTGGGCGTACGCTTGTGAGGTATTCGCGGCAGCTTCTCCCTCCACTCTGCACCCCATCCGGGTAGCAGAGAACAGAGCGGCGCGCCTGCACTTGCCTTTTACCAGACCTGACTGACAGCTCCAAAACGCTGACGTCTTCAGAATCTTAGGCGTTCGCAACCAGTTCCCGGCGGAGCTCAAAAGAGGGCGGAGACGGCGCTCGCAAGGGCGCTGAGGCCGTCCGCTCCGCGCATCCTGCACGAGACCGGCAAGGCGGCGAACAGCGGCGTGCACAGGGCCTTTCACAGAAGAATGGGCCCACAGCACGTCACCTTCCGCGCACTGCCCCCGCACAAGCTCTCTGAGCTCTGCGACGCGGGGGAGCAGCAAGTGCGTGGCAGGGGATCGCCGCTCACGGATGCCGGAAACCGCGCGGGCGGCGCGGATGCGCGCTCCGCTGGGCCAGCGTCGCTGGAGTCCGAAGACGTCGCGGCGCCACGGACGCTTGATTGAAGTCGGCGCCGTGGCGTGCTTTAAAAGTGTATGTAGTGTTGTGAAGTGTTGTGTTTGTATGAATGAATGAATGGATGCGTTTGTAAATATAATTATTATAAGTCTGAATGCGAGTGAGAGAAAAAATTAAAAGAAAGTATAACAATTTCAAGATCTCCCAATTAAAAATTTAAAAAAAGAAGCCTAAAAACTAACAAACTCCAAAGTGGGAATGTGTGTAGTTATAGTTATAAGATAGTTTTAGTTTGTCAGCAATAAAGCCTTCCCTAACTGCACAAGCCAAATCGACTGCAGTTATTAATAATGTACCCCGAAGATAAATAAATTCCTGCCTCTCCAGGGAAACTGGAGGGGGGAAAACTGAAGAAAAAAACTCATCAAGCCAACCCTACCGGCCTCAGGATGTTGTTTGGCCTTCAGTTTGTTAAATTTTCGAATTTTCTTACATCTAGAGGAGAAACTAAGCCCCATTTAAACTCGTGCGCAGCACATCTCCGCGCATTACGGTCTGAGGAATGTCGCAGAATTGCGACCGAAACGTCGGCACCTTCGCCATGGACGCGGCGTCACCCGGACAGCCTAGTAAATACTGACTCCGGCCGCGGAAGCCTACGCTCTCACAATAGAGCCTCATATTCAACCTGAAGCACAGCTTCCAACACGCAACGCTCTCACCCGAGTCATCGGTCGCCAGATGCGCTGAACGCTTTGCTGCCCGTACGCTGCTGCATGTGCTTCGTGTTCATTCTGTCTCACAGGCCGTGCCCCCTTGAACAATTTGAAAGCGGCTCTTCCTAATAAGACATTTTATTTTCCAAAATATCTTCAATCCCTGACTTTCCCATTTTTTAACCTACTTAATGTAATACGACATTTGAGAAAAAGGCTCCCTGAGCTATCTGACAACCCAGCAAAAGGTTCAACATAAAATTAATTGTATTTATTTAATGTGTTCCTAAAGTAACAATTTCGCTCTTTTTGTGGTAGGTTTAAGTTAATTACTAGTAAAATATTACTTACGTCAATTAAAAAAACAATGGTATAGGGAGCCCGGAAATAAATTTGCCCTATTGTTTTTAAGATATCTTCGATGCATTCGCACCTCACTGCCTGCTGTGATTCATATGGGAGTCTTTTACATGCCAAACGAAGTCTTCCCGTTTCTTCAACACAGAATTAATGATTGTTCATTTGTTATTTTTTGATAATACTGTTCTGTTACATTGACTCAACGCAACTAAATAGTAAAATCTGCCAAAAGTTATTCTTAGCGGCCGACATGTGTCAAGATTTTAAACATTCTGTCATCCGCCAAAAAATTCAAAATATGATTTTGTGGCGTCATACGGATGTAATTAGAAAACAGACGACAGTGGTTAGTAAAACAGTAGTTTTATTCACAATCTATACAGTAGTCTCAATTAAACTACCCTGCTTACAATAAACTAAATAAATAGATCCAAGGAGAGAGAATTTAAGAACGGCTACCACACCGCAACATACTACCGATGTTCTCTGCGTGAAGCACCGCTATACCTCGAGACCATCAACACAAGTCAGTTTCGCAAGTCCCATCAATGAATTGCCGGCCCCTCGCCCTAGTGCACATACTCGTACAGACACACGCATCACCTGTCGCCGACGCCGCTAGAACAAGAAGACTGGGGCATTGTTCTCCTGGCCTTATATAGGCCCTTTGACGCTACCCGCCGCCCCCATTGCCTCCTCTCAACCGCCGCCCTGGCCACGCTACGTCCACGGAAAGTCCCAGTGCGTCATCACTCCGCCCTTTGTTCAACATCCGGCGATGCCCGCAGAGAGCCACATGATTGTCTCCGTTTGTAACGCGACATGACGCTACAATTTGCTGTCAAAGATCGCTAATAAATACGCATATTTCAAGAATAGATATTTCTTATTTTTGTTAAGGTTTCTTATAAAAAGATATTACGAAAGGTGCCGAACAACACAGGTCAATAATGCAAATAACGGACACCACTGACCACGTCCGGATAGCACGTATATTATTTGTTCTACACATTACCTTATGATGTCAAT